ACGACGGATTTATGGAGATTTTTCTTTTGGAATTAACGAACTTAAAAAAGTATTTAGGGTTAGCAAACAAGGAAGATTTAACAAACTGAAGCTATCTGCAGTAGTATTGGCGGTTGAGGGAATTAAATTTATGCCTTGCAACAGAGTAAGCGAAATAGTCGAAAGAAGAACCACTTTTCGAAAATTTTTTGAAAAGCTTGTTTTTCCTATTCTTGTAGTATTTAATTGTTTTATTAAACAATTCGAGGACGGGACTGCTTGATCGGAACGGATGCAGAAATAGCTTGATTTATTATATTGTAGAACGACGACAGTAAGCTATCAATGCTTCTTTCTGAGAAATCGAGCACAATATGAGAAAGATGTGATTTTAGTATGGAAACATTGATTTTATGGAAATCATAAAGTTGATATGAAAAATTTGAATTTTGAACGTTATAGAAGTTCAACGAACCAACATACTTGTAATGAAAGGAAACACCCAATGCTGGATGATATGGATCCTCACGTAAACTAAACGGAAGACAACGATTAACGCAAACCTCAGGAAAATTTGCAAAGCAGAGATCAAGAAATCTATTATTGCAATTAGGGGTACCATTGTATTGAACTAAATTATTATCAAATAATTCATTGAAGAACACAACGGCTTTATCAGGTGTTGAGGAAGGAATCAAACAGCCAGAACTATCACTGTAAAACCAATTGACTTGAGGCAAATTGAAGTCACCCAACGCAAGGACTATATCGGTAGGTTTAGATTGCTTGGCCACTTCACAAATATGGTAACACCTTTCTATTAATAAATTCCGCTGAATAATTGTCATCCATCACCGCGTCCTATGCACTTGGGTACAACAAAATTACTTTAGCCACCTTTGGCTTAAGTTAATTGAACATTGTCTAACAATTTTCCGATAAATCCGCTTAATAATGGTGCTAAGATTATAAGTAAGAAGCCACCACCTTTTTGCACAAGAACCTTTCTTTTAGACTTTATGGTCGCATTTGGTCTCGAGATGAACCTAAGTTGTTTTTTATGCTTTTTTAAAACCTTCAAATCTTTATTTTTTAGTATAGTATTCCCAGCTATTGTGTTAAAAATAATCTCAGTCAGAGCTTTAATTAATTCATCATCAGCATAGTTGAGTACAGTTTTTCTTAATTTGCTATCATTGACATTTTGAGGACATACAGCATATATTTATGGTTCTTCAATCGCTTTAAACTATTTTTTAAGACCATTTTCCCCGGTGTCACAGAAGCAAAAGCAAAAATTCGGATTAAATATGTTCGTTCTGTATCTTAATAAATCATTTACGCTTTTTGTCGATTAATAAATAACCAGGTTTGCCAGTCATATCTTTATATATTCTCATAAGTTCAGATGATTTTCAGGATGAATTTGCCTTGCAAAATGTTGAAACTGCAGGACATTTCAAGGAGTTTTGAAAACAACTATATATTTGGAATTCAATGAAATATCTCTTTTATGCGACGATTCGTGAAATATGTTTTGTGTTACTACAATGACAGAAAAATTCATATGGTATGGCCCCTGCGTGAAAAGTTCACAAACCGTTTTGTTGAAAGCGGCCATTATTCAGTCATCTAGTACGACGATAGTTGGTTCGTTGAGAACATTTTCCAAATTCTCTGGTATTCCATTGTTATATTCAATGTGCGCAACATTATTTATATCAGATTTCGCATTTTTTTCACCATAACACCAAATTATTCGATCAATTTTCACATTAATTAAGAAATCTATTGTGAATAAGATTTTTCAAAAATGTTGTTTTGCCTGACACAGATGGTCCACTAACAAGTATAGTAAATGGATGGTAAAACTGATAAAACATGTTGTCTTGTTAATTATAAACTAGAGAATAAATTAGGACTTCATAGAATTCGTCATTTTATAAATATTTATTTATTTAATTTGAAGTAATAACTTTAAATCATTTCGATGATGTGGGCAGTTAGTAAAATAATCAGGTAGTTTTCTCAAAGATGTTTGAGTGTCCACGAATATCACTTTAGATTTCAAATATTTTTTAAGAAATTCTTGTTTTTCTCTTCCCACGACTAAAACGTACTCATAATTATTCAAGGAAGATAGTATGTCACCTAAGCAGGAATAGTCTATTGCGCCATCCCACTATTTTAAACCATAAATAAATTTAGCACAAAAATGATTTTGATCTTTAGTCATCTCATTTAATTTCTTTTCAACGAACGGCGATCTAAATAAAAAGTAGGTAGCTGCAACAGAACTTGCACTCATATATGCTGGCTCTTTAATAAAAATTTGTTTCTGATTTCCATGACAATACTGGAAATCAACAAGAGCGAATGTACTTTTAGTTACGCTGGATATGGTTTGATGAGTTACTGATAAATACTGAGCCGATTTTATATAATTTTTGAGTTTATATTCTAAAAGATTTCATATCGCTGTCAGTACTAGTTGTGTCGTCTCAATAAATGGATCACATATCGCCAAGTGCTCAAAAAACTCCGCGTTTACCAAAAAGAAATCAAGACCATCAATTAATATTTGGTTTGGAATATTTCGTCAGTTTAAAAACTAAAGTCATATGTGGTTTTTCACCCTCAAGAAACTTTAAACCACTTTTATGGCTGCAAGATAATGAATGTAAATTTATGATTTCACCCGTGACCAATGGATTCATTTAATGGCGTGCAAGGATGCATACAACTAAGATTGGATCAAAAAGACTTTATAGAACCTGAGATCATTCTAGATCATCCAACTCTAGACCACATTGAGTGTAATTTTAAATATAATCGAGATGGACAATGTCTTTTGATTATTAATCAAAAAGGGTATAGAATAAAACTTGATGCTGAAAGGTGGAGATTAATAACCCTCGTTAGAATTTTTTTGTCAACATTCCTATGCTGGAGTACCATCTTACAAAAGCAAATCTCGTTCTTTTATTACAATCATTTTTTCCCAAAGTGCATGGAATTAAATAAGACTGATGTTCAATATGATATCTCCATATCTATCGACCCTGATATTGAGATTGGTTTGTTAAGATTATTAGGCCGGATATCAAGATTGATAAGCTACATTTGAGAATTATAAAGAAATAAACGTATAAAAATGAATATAATTCAAATTGTTAATGAGATTCACAACCCAGCCCTAAAAAATTCTGTTCAAAGGCGATTCATTTAAAAAGGAATTAATGGTACATGGATTTAGTTGAGTTAATTCTATTTCATAAGCTAAATAATGGCTATAAATACCTTTTGGTTGGAATTGATGTATTTTCTAAATATGCTTTCGCGCAACCAGTAAAATCTAAAACTTCTTTAGACATAATTAAAGCTATGAAACAGGTACTGGAAAGTAGAAATACATCACCAAGAAATATTTAGACTTATCAGCGAAATGAATTTTTCAATAAAAATTTTAAAGATTTCAAGAAAGATTTGATTATCAAATTAACCATTATCACACATATACTCATATGAAAGCCTCCATATATGATATATTTAAAAGAACATTAAAAAAGTTAATGTGGAAAATGTTTAGTATGAATGGTAATTAAAAATGCATAAACAACCTGCAAACATTACTAAACAAATACAATAATATGTATCATAGATTAATAAAAATGAAACCAAATGAAACCGAAATATTTCAGATCAGTAGAATAAAAATTACGAATCCTGTTACTTACATTCTAAAGGACTATAAGGAATATGAAATATTAGGATCATTTTATGAATACGAAATGCAAAAAGTTCGTGACGAAAATGCGTATTTAGTGGAAAAAATATTGAAGAAACAGGGAAACAAATTTTTTGTGAAGTGGCTAGGGTTTGATCAAACTCATAATTCATGGATTAATAAAACTCAATAACTTCGATAAAATATGTATAAGTCCAACCGAAAATGTTTGCTATTATTATTATTATTACTATTATTAAAACCTAAATAAAATTAAAATCCAAAAAAATTGCATTGCGTATTAATTTTTACATTTATTCTTGTATACATAGTAATTACATTTCATTTACATGTTTGTATTATTTACTTTATAATTATTTTACATTTATTCATATATACATAGTATTTATACATCGTTATTTATTATTTGATTACCTATTTTATAATTTCCCTACGCTAGTGTGCAAATTTTATCATCTAAAACACACCGCTTATCATCTAAATATTTTTTGCTATTTTTTGCAGATCTCTGTATACAATCTGTGAGATCTGCTTCTTATAATTCTCTGTTCATCATAAAAAGATTGTCTATTTATAATACAGTGTTTATAATCACTATATTTTAATTTGTCGGTTACACATTTTTTTATCCCCTTAACTTTTTTTCACTTCTTTTTCTTTATTGTTCCCATCATTGACTGCGTATGCATAAGCCTTGCCTTTTAAACCTGCAAACTTTGCCATGATTCTCCCGGCGTTCTCGTCTTTTGCAATAGTGTTGCTCATTTTGCAATAGTTCTTTAGGACTTGAGAAATTCGTCCAGTACAACTGATACAGGTCTTCCATTTTCCGCTGCATATGACCAAGAAATTCAGTTATGCATGTTTCTCCTAATAAAAATAAGAAATAAATAACTAGATTCAATTAGTTACTTAAATAAAAAACAAAAACAGTTGTTATATACTCACCACACACTTCATCACACTCTTCATTATACACATGTTTAACATAATAAGAGACTGCGAACGCTTCATGCTGTTGAATTGGCCTCGTCCCTTCGCTCCTGGTAAGAACTTCTATGGGTTTCAGCACAGCCTCTATATCAGCATATATGATTAATGGCGACGACAACTTCTTCTCCATATTTTTGAATTTGGTTACTGTTCCACTTGTACTTTGGTGCAACCTTTCTAACGGCGGGTTGCAGTCATGGTGTAAAACGTTTGACACAAATCGCAAAACTGTCCTGATATACGGCTTCGCGTGTGTTGTTTACCAACCTCTGCATGTTGGTAATAAGACAATAACGATATTGCTTAATCGTTTCATTATATACAGTTAGCAAGTTGATATGCAAACTTTTTGGTTCCTTTGTGGCCCTTGCCGGACCAACCACTTTCCATCTACCCTTGGAACGTACCAATTCACATGTATTTATGCTGAAATCTTTGTTGTTCTGCTCAAACCGATTGATGTCGTAGTTAGTTATCGGAAATTTCAATCTAGAAAAGTCAATTCGAGTGTTTCGAAATTCAATGATAACCTCGCGAATCGTTCCGATTTTATAATAGCTCGTCTGAGCTAATCTGCGTAATTCTTCTCCCAACGGTTTGTCGAACTTGTAAGCGATAGCCGTTAATATATACCTCACTGGCAGGAACCTTCTTCTTGGTACTAGCTTCAAAAACTCATTTACGCTTACTGGCGTTGCTTGTGCACGACGGACCGTTAATACTGGACGTACCAGGCTGGTTTTTTTTCAATGCTGGTTCACAGCCTGCTACGAACTCTTTACATAAATAGGTATGGGACAACTCGTGCTCGGTTAGAATCGCACCGCAGATATTACACCTTGTTCGCCGGCCGCCAATTGTTGTTTCGTTCAAGGAATCAGCTTGCTGCAAACCTAACCGACAAGCTCTTGCAAATTCCGAGCAGTAATGGTTCAGTAAATTCTCAACTGTCTGATGCCAAAAAGTGCACTTATGTTAGGTTCCATTTTTAATTTTTTTTTTTTCATTTTAAATAATCAAATTGTCACTAACCGATTTGGTGGTTTAGTATTTTTAAAAATAACTAAAGAGAAAACGCTGCTTATATAGGATAGATATTGTTCAAGCGTTATCGGTAAAATTCCTTGTCTTTTATTTTTCCTTTTAAATACTTTTAAGTGTGGTCATAAAGTAATAAATGAAATATCATTTGACCATTTCTTTTCATTTATAGTGCACCACAACACTAGTTCTTTTTCCATTGTCAGCGGGGTATTTACACGAACGGAAATAGTGATAATAAAAGTAGAAATGGGGAAGGATAAGACGTGTAAGTGTTCTGAAATGCGATATGATAGTCGCACCACCCAGAGTGCACTTTAATTTTTCTTCGTTGAAATTTGTGTAGACATCTGTATGCACGATCGTGTTTCTTAGTTTTTTTTTTTTATGAGAATCATAAATAATGTGTGTCCATGAAGGAATCCTCTTTCGTTTGTTCATTAAAACGTATATGATGAAGAAAAGATTTATCGAAGGACATTTGTTGTGACCGTAATATGAGGGAGCGTAACTAAGAAGATACGCATGTGATGATATTCGACCGTTCGTGCTTTGGAAGAAATAATCCGTTGTTTCTGGAAAAATAGAGTTTGATGTAGAATGTTTAGTAGGAAGAAAGAATATTTTGTTGGTTTTAATTTTTGTATTTTCTGTAAAGTGGAGGTAAAGAGGGAACGTGTGGGTTTTTGGAGATCGCTAGACATGCGTAGTTAACGATGTGAGTGTGTGTGTGTGTGCGTATGTTTTTGCAGTGTGTGCGCGTGCATGTGAGTACGTGTGTCGCGGTGTGTCTGTGTGTTTTTTTTGTTTGTTTGTTTGGGTTGTGTTGGGTGTGTGTGTGTTTGTTGCGTGTGCGGTGATGTGGTTGGACCAGGCAAGCGTGCAGCCTTCTTTCCCTCATGTATATACTACTAACACCTTTGCTTTCCGTGCTTTTTACTTGTTACTCATAAGATGCCACACATACACCAAATCAATTTCCACATTCATTCTGACAACAGTAAAAATCAACCTCGCCAAGTTCATGTTACAAATCATGAAAGTTTCTTCTTTGTTTTACTTTTTTTGTGTTTTTTAGGCTAACAAGATTTAATTTCACCTGTTGAGACCATCTTTAATTCATTTCTTATTAGCTGTGTTAGTACTTTTAAATTATCCCCATCTCAAACTAGACTTATCATTTGCTTCAAGATTTTAGTTCCAACGTAAAATACTAAAATGTTCTTAAATAAATCCTTCTGGCCACTGAAATCCTTAATAAAGGAATTTACTTCTCTGGACAGGCCTCGCAGCACTAATTGCATCATTCCTCCACCTGAAAAATCGGAATATTTCCTCAGAGCCTGCAACTAGCATTTATCCAATAGTTAGAGGGTGTAACATGTGGTTGTATTTAATAGATTTTGTTAACAATGCTTGCTATTGTTGGTTTTGTTGCATTGTTGCAACATAACGCAACTCCTGAACTAGCTGGCGCAGCTACGGCACGTACGTCGGTCTTAACAACCTCCGACGCTCACAAAACAGCACTGAACGGTGACCCCAAATGTATTGAAGTCGGTTTTCGATCTTTCGATTAATTGGAGAGACATAAAGAATTCACAGCCATAGCTTATCACAAAATCTAAACTGAAAGATTTGGTCTACCTGCCTAAATTTAGTGAGCACTGAGTTTTCCTGTTTCGCTTTTACTGAAAAGCGGCTGAAACCCTTTTGTTAACTCTAAAAGAAGCGTGTCCATACATTCCTCCTCCATCGCTCTTAATGGTTCCGAATCCTCCGAATCTTTTCTCTATTGCTGATTACGATTTAAGCAAGAATTAGCCCCAAAGCACAAACTTGATTTCGATTTCAAATTTGGTCAATTCAGAGAGAGGCATACTGCAAAGTTTAAAACTAAGTGTAGTTGCCTGCCTGGGCATAATGGCATTTCATCACGTATATCCAAGTCATGCTCTGGGTAATTGTGTGGTGGTATCTTTTTCCTTGAGAACAGATGTTTTCCGTTCAGGTTTGAAGAGCGGCTGTCTTCTTCTAATTCATAAAGGCAGGAACAGACGTTCTGCTGGGAACTATAGAGGCATTCTCAAATTGGGCCTATTACCTTAATTGTTTCAACAAATTGCTATTCAGAAATTACCTTTCTCTATCAAATCTTATATTTATCCATTTCAACA